CTGTTCCTATTGTCGTTGCGTTGACACCATACTTGTTGGCAAGCCGGCGATATACATTTCTGCTATTGGTTGGCGATCATACTTTTCAGTGTCTCCACCCAACCAGCCACGGAGTCTTTTTTTATCCCAACCCAAAGGACGGAAAACACTTACTCTACCTAATCGTTCTGTGCATTTCTTCAAGCCTCGTTTCCACGCCATCTGTTGACTTCCAAGTGGTTTTTTATCCGACCTGGAACGGCAACTACGAATAAGGACGGTGTAGTAGGTGACCGTTAGATATGTAAAACAGGTCCTAACTGTCATAAACTCTCTTGTTCTCTTGTTTATACACCCTTTTCTATAGCGTATTAAATAAACCTCTTTTTTCTATTACAGCTCACGTACCGGATTTATTAGTTGAGTAAAGCGTACAATTCCGACTCCGAGTCTCCTTCATTCTGCTCTCGTTTGTTTCATTCGTAAAACGTTACCATTGACTCTTTTTTTATTCAACACGTAACCAATTACAGAGAACTGGCAAATGTGCCACAACATATAAACAGAAAGAAATTTGAAGAATGTGTTCATGGGTTGTGTGGGCATGTTACTTCCCAGTTGCTCTGGTCGAGGCAGGAGGGTAGCCTTGGGATCCCCACCCGAAGCCTTTGGCTAGAAAACCAGACCTGCAAGACAACAGAACGGAGCTCAGAGTCAGCAGTTCATTGGGAGCCGGTGTCCAGTTCACTGGATCCTACGCCCTTTGGACGGGGGCAAACGTCCAAGGTGCCCAAGACACCTCGATGCCCATTTGAGCCGGTGACCACTATCGCGACCAGGATGGTGAGTGTGGTTCTTACGCCTCTCCTTGGTTGGTTTGGAATCAGGGTTTTTAGATAAATCCCCTATGTGAACTGCCAATGGTTCGCCAACCCGGTTATAGCCCCGAATGTCGGCTTTTCGTCTTCTCACTTTGGTGGGAAAACACCTTCGCCACGAGGAGGCAGTGAGTAGGGCTTCTTCAGCAGAAGCTATTTGAGACACTTGGTCATGTAGGAGCATCTCGCGAGGTGTAAGGAAATAGTGACCACGATCCCAGACACCCACCCCGACTATACTGAGGCTTTCGAAAGCTATTTTCTCAACTAATAGTAGACCGCTATCTTCAACCCGAC